AAATATCAAGATAAGGGTTTCATTTATTTGAAGATAAGTGAGCACAATGTTCAAATTAAAAAAATATCAAGGGTATAACAAATTTGTTTACCTTGCTATCTGGCCAAAGTTGTTTGATGTTGCTATGTTGCATGTCCAAAGCAACAAGATTTTTGAGTTGAAAATTGGAGGGTAAGTTCTTCAGAGGACAATAATACCAAGAAAACCATCTTAACTCTCTAGATAGATATTTAAAGCTGCCGACAAGACGCACATTATTGATCTGGAGTAGTGTTAATTTTTGCATCCTTGCAAATGATTCAGTCCTAAAATCTATATTCTTTAACAGTGGCAAGTCCAACACAATACCTTCAATTTCATTTGTGCCCTAAATTTCATAAAGGAAAATGCATTTTTGATAAGTAACTAACTACATGTAGGCATCAACCACACACATAGAGCATGTTGTGCGTGTCCCAAACTATATGAGTATATACACACACACACATATAGAAACAAAAATAAAATATGTGCACTAAACAAGAGTTATATTCTAGGCTATAAAGTTTTCCTATTGAAAGAAAGTAGTTTCTTATTACCTTGTNAGACACACACACATATAGAAACAAAAATAAAATATGTGCACTAAACAAGAGTGATATTCTAGGCTATAAAGTTTTCCTATTGAAAGAAAGTAGTTTCTTATTACCTTGTCTGTTTGTAGCACATCACATACGTTTGTTTGAAACCACAGTCTGCTACGCTTTCCAGGCTCTTTAGGTGATTCTTCACAAAAAAAATTCCGCCCCATCTCTCGTAGTAAATCATGCATACTCAATTGATTTTGGCCAACAATTTTTAGCAAGCATCTATTTATTAGGACACTAATTCCGATTTTCGGGAAGAAACCACAACCATTCAATATATAAATGACATAATCTTTATCTATTCCAATGAAAAAACATGTAATGTCAAGGAATATGTCCTTTACTTGTTCATCATCTAGTGCATCGAAGCGTATTCGGAGTTTTTTCTGAATTTGATTGTGAGTAATGTGTTTTAATTTCTCAAATACACTTTTCCATTCTAATATAGTTCGTCCAAACAAATAAGATCCCAAAACTTCATGAGCTAACGGAAGCCCTTGGGTGTAGTTTATTATGGCATTTGAAAGCTCCAAATAATCTTCTAATGGTATGGCTTGTCTGAAGGCATGTCAATTGAAAAGTTGTAGAGATTCATTATAGTTCAATTCCTTCGCTTCATATTTCACATCTACTTTAACTTTATTTAGCAAATTCTCATCTCTAGTAGTGATAATAATTCTACTACCCAACCCAAACCAATCACGGTTCCCTGCTAATGAATTTAATTGGCTAATTTGATCAACATCATCAAGAACAATGAGTATTCTTTTAGAACGAAGTCTTTTATTATTCCAGTTGATTCCCCTATCAATGCTGCCAATACTAGGGCCCTTTTTCATAAATATTTCGGAAAGAAGTTGCTCTTGCAAATGAACTAGACCATTGAGTTGTTTTGAAATTTCACTCACATTCCTAGAAAACAAGAACCTTCAAATTGCTGAAAAACATGATTATAGACTGCTTTGACAATTGCTGTCTTGCCAATTCCTCCCATGCCAAAGATTCCAATCATTTGGATGTCACCAGATCCATTGGTTAGTAACAACCTTATGTCTTTAACACGAGAATCTAATCCAGTCGGATGCATGATGACGTTTAGATATGTGTGGCTCACTTTGCATAAGACCTCCTCAACAATTTTTTGGATAAACTTTGATTCATGCTTGTAATATTTTGTCCAAAAGAAATGAAAATTTATCATAGTTCAAATGAAAAGTAACCACAAGGAAACAATATATCTTGAAATAAAACTCTTACAGAAGGAAGTGAATGAAAATAAACCACAACAACTGTGGTAGGATATTGATTTTTTTTTTCATGTTGCATATATTGGTTGAAGTGTTATTTTGGATGACATATGTTAGTGTATTGAATGATAAAAAATTTGATATATAATATATTTATGGGGTATGATCCTAGTGCTTTGTCCATACTATGATATAAAGAAACATAGTGCATTGTCNAGTTGACATATGCTAGTGCTTTGTCCATACTATGATATAAAGAAACATAGTGCATTGTCCATACTATGNATTTGATATATAATATATTTATGGGGTATGATCCTAGTGCTTTGTCCATACTATGATATAAAGAAACATAGTGCATTGTCCATACTATGATATAAATAAGCATAAGGCCAAAAAGCGAATATATTGCAAGAGATGTAGTTAATCTTAAAAATTCGTGAAATAACAAAAATTTCACAAAANTGATATAAATAAGCATAAGGCCAAAAAGCGAATATATTGCAAGAGATGTAGTTAATCTTAAAAATTCGTGAAATAACAAAAATTTCACAAAACTATTTAAGGACTTCTTTTCACTAGCCTTGACAATTATACAAAATGTTTGTTTTTCTCTTTCTGTAAGTTACGCATTGGTATTAATTAGAACCATAATAAGTAAATATAAGGCAAAGCCGTTAACAACTACATTAGGCTTGACCTACTATAACAAAATGTACAAAAAACAGATGCTCTTTAGATCAGAATTTAGAAGGAAGTATATGCCTTGAGCCATTACTTCCAACTAAATCCTCTTCCATAAGAGCATCATCTGGTTTGAAACAACTTTCAAGTATCTAAACATCTAATTGGTAGTTGCCAAAGGTATGCAAGCTGACAATTATACAAAATGTTAATTGTTCATTAGAGATGGAAATAGCAATTAGCTATATTGATATCTCTATATTCGTTATATAGAGGCATTTGTTTGTGATACGTGNAGAGATGTAGTTAATCATAAAAATTCATGAAATAACAAAAATTTCACAAAACTACTTCAGAACTTCATTTCACTAGCCTTGACAATTGTACAAAATGTTTTTTTTCCTTTCCGGAAGTTAAGCATTTGTATTAACTTGAACCAAAAGAAGTACATATAAGGCAANGTTAAGCATTTGTATTAATTTGAACCAAAAGAAGTACATATAAGGCAAAACCTTTAACAACTACATTGGGCTTGACCTACTATAACAAAATGGACGAAAAACATATGCATGCTCTTTAGAACAGAATTTATAAGGAAGTATAGGCCTTGAGCCATTACTTCCAACTAAATCCTCTTTCATAAGGGCATCATCTGGTTTAAAACAACTTTCAAGAATCTAAACATCTAGCTGGTAGTTGTCAAAGGTATGAAAGCTGACAATTATACAAAATGTTAATTGTCCGCCAGAGATGGAAATAGCAATTAGCTATATGGATATCTCTATTTTCATTATATAGAGGCATTTGTTTGTGATACGTGCAGAGTTTTCTTCAATCAAATAGGAAATTTGTGCTTTAAAAATGAAAAATAGCATTCAATAATTTCCTCAATCACCTCTAATCAATATAAAAGTTAGTAAGTGATTTTCTTTGGAAAGGTAAGTGATTGAAGTTATTAAAAGGATAATATAAAAAAGTGCATTGTTGCTTCTAANGTAAGTGATTTTCTTTGGAAAGATAAGTGATTGAAGTTATTAAAAGGATAATATAAAAAGGGGCATTGTTGCTTCTAAATGGCATAATGTAAAAATAAAAGCAAGAAAAAAAAGTAGTAAACATTAAATTAATGATATAAACAATTATAAGAGAGAGAGATACAGAGAGAGGGAGACCCTGTCTCTCACCATATAGTGCCTCCTCCACCTCCAATCTCTGCGATCGATTGTTACAAGCTCCTGTATTGCTCGTGCTTAGAGATGACAATCTTAACCTATTACCTATTAACCTTTCCAATCTGCCCATGAAAAAATGAGTTGAATACCTTTATTAATTAATGTGAGTTCTAAATGAGTTGGATAATAGAACTTATTTTAATTAAGTGGATTAAGTTGGATAACAAATGGGTATCCATTGGATTGATTGTTTATCTATCAATTAAATAACAAAAGTAATAAAATTAAATGCATACACACTAATACACCAAAAAATACACACACTTATACAAAAAAAAAAAAGAAAATACACACACACATGCACACACTAGTTGACTAAAANTCCATTGGATTGATTGTTTATCTATCAATTAAATAACAAAAGTAATAAAATTAAATGCATACACACTAATACACCAAAAAATACACACACTTATACAAAAAAAAAAAAGAAAATACACACACACATGCACACACTAGTTGACTAAAACAAACACACAGACTAGTACACTAAAGTATACATACCAATGCACAAAAAAAAAAAAACACACACACACACACTAGTACACCAAAACAAAAATACATACCAGGAAATTAGTATATGAACTTTGCTGCGAACAGAGGTTCCATGGCGATTGTCCTTCCCCGACCTACTTGAACCCTACATCCTGCCCACCAAAACCTTTACCATTTCTCCTTTCACCGACATCTACCCTACACTAACCAGCTCCTTCTCCTAGATCCCCAATTTTATTGCCCTTGGTTTCATCGCTCCTTGTTCTACCCACCCACCCCATATTTTTTCTCCTTTATCATTCACTACACTGCATCTGTAGATTTTCTCAACATCAATCCCTTCCACCTAACACCTTTAATGATTCTGTGCTCTCTATCCACGACATGCTCTAGCCATAAATATGTCCAGCCTCTTAGAAAACCCAACGCCCTAAAATGCGGGAAATCTATCAATTTCCTACCCACCGAAGGACCAAGAGGTCAACCCACAACCCCAAAACCAAAAGAACAGTTATGTGTCAAGAAACTCTGCTACCATCTCTCCAGAGGTCAAGCCACATACCCCTCGAGCTTGCTCACTTGTTGTGTCTCACTCTTTGGTCAAAGAGCTATCTCTCTCAAGTGAGGGTAACAGCTCTACCATTCCAAATGGTGCTAGAATATTCACACAATTGATTTGTGCAAAATCTAGTGGAAATCCACATAATGGAACAACCATGCACAAGGAAGTCCCAAGTAGGAAGCCAACCAAGATAACCAGCTCATTGGCTACAGAGGCAAGCCCAGAGGTAAACCCATGTCCTAGCACTACTTTGAATCTTGTTTATGAATCCTCTATTAGGAGAAAGGAAGGTGTGGCCCATGCTCTATCAAATGAGGTGAGGCAAGAATCTTTGTTCACCACCAAAAACGTACCATTAGAACAACACCCCCGAGGTGCTGGTAGATTGAAACAAGCTACCTCCTGGAGCCAGGTTGTCAAGAATGGAGTGGGTCTGAACTCAAATATTCATGGATCAGCTAATCGTAAAGTCATGTCTCTTAAATTTGTTGAACCCATTAGGGATGCTCAAGAATTGCGGTCTCTCCCCCTAGGGATATAGCTTTAAAAGGCTGCAAGGAGTGGGAAGCATGCCTTGTGGGGTACTTTATTGAGAGGAAATTGCCTTTTTCGGTGGTCAAATAGCTTGCCTTTAGGTTATGGAATAGCCTAGGACTCATTGAAGTCTTGGCCAATGACACTGGTTTCTTCTTTTTCAAATTTAATGATGAAGCAGCTAGCTCCAAGGTGCTTGAAGAAGGTCCATGGATGTTTTATGGGAAACCAATTTTGCTCAAAAAAGTGGCACCCCAAACTTCATCTTGCCAAGGATTCACACTCCAAGATTACAATGTGGATCAAGCTCGACAATATTCCACTATAATACTGGAATGAAGAGGGATTAAGCCAGATTGCTAGTGTAGTTGGTAAGCCCCTATATGTTTATTCCCTCATTGAATCCAACCAGAGGATCACATTTGCCAGATTATGTGTTGAACTAGAAGCAGAAAAGGAGGCCATTGAATCATTTTACCTTAGTATGAAGGGTATTGATGATAGTGAGGATGACGAGGTTATTGGTTGAATACCAGTGGAAACCTAGGATATGCACAGAATGCAAGGTGTTTGAACATAGTACGTCTAATTGTCCTATGGGCACAGCTAACAGAGAATGCAAACAGAAAACATCCTTAGAAAAGGGCAAAGAAATGGTTATTGAACTAGTTATAGCATAACAGAATCATGAGATTCTAAACAATGGCAGTACAAGTTTAGGTGATCCCCATCTTACACTGCCTGAGTTATCTTAACAAATTTAGGGGGAGATCCTTGTTCTTACAGGGAATGTGGAAATCAAGGCTTCCCCCATTCTTAAGGCTCCTATTAACATTGAGACTAGTAATAAGTTTTCTAGCCTAGTGGTTGAACTTACTGGGATAAAGGAGAACGACATGGAGAAATTAGTTTCGCCGAAGAAAAGCCTCCTAAGTAGCAAAGTGAGGAACATTGATGGAGTTCCATTTGGTACAACTAGAAAGAAGAAACAAAAGCAAAAATATTCTAACCAAGGGAAAGTTGGGGTTCCTAAAGCCCAGGGTCTGAGTTTACCCAAACCCAAATGATCAATCTATCTTGTTGGAATATTAGGGGTCTTAACTCCACCCCTAAACAAATGGAGATTAGGAAAATGATTTTTGAACAACAACTTGACTTGGTTGGTATAGTTGAAACCAAAGTAAGGGTTGTTAATAAGGAAGTAGTCAGGAGAACCATCATCAGAGATTGGTGCTGGTGTGATAACTACAACAGTCACAATTTGGGAAGGGTGTGGATTGGGTGGAATCCTCAAAGCATCATTGTACAGAAATTTGCTGAAATGGATCAAGTTATTCATTGCAAGGTCACTCATCATGCAAGTATGACTTCATTTACACTTACTATGGTTTATGATTCTAATGATGATACAGAGAGGGGAAGGCTTTGGAGGGACATGGAGGTTGTATCAAGAACTACATTTAATGATCCCTGGATAATCCTTGGGGACTTTAATGTGGTTAGATCAGTTGTAGAAATTCTAGGTGGCTCAACTAGTAGGACTTTGGCCATGGATGAATTTGAAAATTTCATCCATGTAGCTTAGATCACTGACCTTAGATACTCGGGTGTTCAATTTACTTGGTGTAATAATAGAGGTCCAGACTGTACTGTTAGGAAACTGGACAAAACTATGGTCAATGAAGCTTGGATTCTAAAATTCCCAATGGCAGCAACTAAGTTTTTCCCAATTGTAATTTCTGATCATAATCCCATTGTGGTTAAAATGGGAAAAGAAATCAAAGCTAAGAAGTGCCCTTTTAAGTTTTTCAACTTCATTGCAGAGAGGGAGGATTTGCATTCCATTGTTAGTAATGTTTGGCAAGCTCAAATTAGGGGAACTATTCAATTCCAGGTCAACCAAAAACTAAAGCTCTTGAAAGCTGAGTTCAAAAAAATCAACAAAGAAAAAGTTGTTGTTGTTACAATCAAGGCTATTGAGGCAAACGAGCAACTTTCAGCTTGTCAAAGGCGGCTTGATACCAACTCCCATGACCAATCACTCAGGATTCTTGAAAAAGAGTTGGTGGGAAAATGCTTTGAGGCCTTCAAGATTGAGGAAGATTTTCTGAGACAAAAGTTTAGACTCCAATGGTTAGCAGCAGGTGACAAAAACTCCTCCTTCTATTTCAAATCCATCTGAAGTAGAAAGAACAATTCCAAGATTATCACCATACAAAGATAGGATGGATCTTTTGCTGAAGGAGATAAGGAAATTAAAGATGAGGCAATAAATTTTTTCCAAAACTTGATGGGTAGGAGAAGCTCTCAGGATCCTTAAAAACCTACTACTCTACCGAACATTTTGCAAAACACCATTACAAGGGAACAATCTCATATCCTTAGCAATGAATTTATTAGGGCTGAAACTAAAGTAGTTTACACTCCCAGTAAAGGTCTAGGACTTGATGGATTCAATTGGTTATTCTTCAAAAAGGCATGATCAATCACTGGCGAAGACATTGTTGCTGCTGTTAAAGAATTCTTTGTCACAGGTAAGCTTTTCAAGGAATTGAATGCTACTATAATTGCTTTTGTTCCTAAAGTCCCCAAACCCGCAAGTGATGTGAAACCTGCCAAGAATAATGAGAACATACAACGAAAAGGAACCCAAGATCGTTTTACGATCAGATTTGATGCTAGACCTCGACCCGTTGTTTACGACAAATAAGAACCTTGGTATATAGATCTCAACCCGTTGTTTGTGAAACAAGAACCTCGGTATAAAGGAAGACGCTACAAACGGTGTGGAAACCCGTTTGATAAGTCACTGGTGAACACCACAGAAAATCCCGATAAGTTCGTTTAGTTCTTCAAAGAACCGTAGAGAATAATATTCTCACAATTTCCTGAATAATAATCTGTCTTTTCATTGATTTGAAGCTCCTTTGTCTCCTCGGGATTGCTCCTATAGGCTGGTCGGTTTGGAATTGTCGCACCGGGAACAAAATCAATTTGATGTTCAATCCCTTGGATTGGAGGTAACCCATGTGGTGTTTGCTCAAGAAAGACATCCTCATACTCTGCAAAAGAGAAACAACAGAACTAGGCAAAGCGAGGACAAGTTCGTTAGTGTTTAAAAGTGCCTCTTTGTACAAAAGTACAATCATCGGCTGATTTGAAAACATGGTTCGCTTAATCTCACTCACTTTTGCATAGAAATTCTTTTGTTTTCTCTCTGATTTTTTTTCAATGGCCGCATTTTTGATTTTCTTTTTCTCTCTCATTTTTCTCGGCCTCTCTCTGATTTTCACTCTTTTTCTTTTTCTTTGGTTCACTCTCTTTCTTTTGATCACTCTCTTTTTGCAATCTCACTTGATCCTCATATACTTGCTGCAGTGTCAATGGTACAAGAGTGATTGATTGTTGATTAAGCACAAAGGAGTATTTGTTTGTAAAGCCATCATGCTTCACATGCCCATCAAACTACCATGTACGCCCTAGCAATAAGTGTCCTGCTTGCATCGGTACTACATCACACAACACTTCATCTTTGTACTTAACAATTCGGAATGCAACTAACACCTGCTTGTTCACCCTTATCTCACCACTATCATTTAACCATTGCAACTTATAGGGTTTAGGGTGCTTCAACACTGGTAGTCCTAATTTCTCCACCATAATTGTGCTTGCAACATTAGTACAACTACCACCATCAATAATCACACTACACACCTTGTCTTTGATGTAGCACCTAGTATGAAAGATGTTCTCCCGCTACACTTCATCAACCTCTTTGGCATGTACGCTCAATGCTCTCCTCACCACCAATGTCACTACATCAGGGGCTAAATATTCCTCCTCGGGAACGTCCTCCAATGGTGGCATGTCATCAGTGTTGGAATCTTCATTGTTGGTCACAATTTCACTATTGTCTTGCAACACCATGACCTACTTGTTTGGACATTGACTTGCTATATGTCCCATGCCTTGACATTTAAAACATTTAATGTCACGAATCCTAGAGGTAAAAGTGTCAGTTTTACCTTGAGGAATGTGGTTGGTGTTCGCGGACTTGGGCTCTGCTTTGGACGTTGGTGACTTGTCCAGTTGCTTAGTATAACTTGGTTTCCAAGAGGTAGAACTAAAGTTATGGGCTGCACGTGACCCATCCCTCCTCTTGAGTTGTTGCTCCACTTTAACGCCCATGTGCACCATGTCTTCCAACTCCACATAATGCTGCATCTCTACCTTATCTAGGATTTTTTGATTTAATCCAAGTAAAAACCTAGCCATGGTAGCCTCTCGATCCTCCTTTACATTAGCTCGGATCATAGGAATCTCCATCTCCTTGTAGTAATCTTCCACGCTTCGACTTCCCTGTCTAAGACCTTGTAGTTTTTTGTACAACTCTCGGTAGTGGTAGCTTGGAATGAACCGTTTTCTTATCACCGTTTTCATCTCCTCCCATGTCTCCATTGGACGTTCTCTATTTCGCCTCCGGTTTATAACAAGCTAATCCCACCAAGTAATAGCATAGTTAGAAAACTCAATCACTGTTAATTTTACCTTCTTTGCTTCAGAATAGTTATGGCAGTCAAATACAAACTCCACCTTTTTCTCCCACTCAAGATATGCTTCAGGATCAGATCTACCTTGAAATGATGGAATCTTCATCTTAATACCACCCAAGTTGTTATCTTCCCAGTTTCTAGCTTCCCTAAACCACCCTTCATGTCTCCTATTACTAACAACAGAATTTCGATCATCTTCTTCATCAAAACCAGCCCCATAAGGCTCTTCATCCTTAACCCTTACTTCCCTCGGCTGAACTCTTCCCCTTCTATGCACATAAGGGACGTTTTGTGGCTGCCTCTCATGTGTTTTCTCCATTTGATCTATCCGTTCGTGAACTTGCTCTAGTTCCAACTTCATCACATGGTTCATCTCACTCATCATGGCCTCCATAAACAATTTTGGGTCAGCAAGATCCATAGCATTGTTGTGAGACATGATTGCTGCAAAACAAAGTTAGAAAAAAAAATAAAAAGAAAAAAAATAATAAATAAAAGAACCTCACAATTCTCTCCCTTATGTGTTTACACTCAAGAATGTGAATCACTCTACACTCGTGTTTCACTCAAAATGCATGGCTTTTTTAACCCTTTAATGTGCTCACCACTCTTGCCTTTTCCACTCGATAATTTCTCTTTCAGTTCTTTTGAAACTAAACAAACAATTCTCAAAATTTTCAGCAACAATTCACCAAGAACTCATCAAGGAATTTAAGGTTTGAAGAGCAAGAATTCAAGGAACATGACTGATTAGATTTTCGGAAGCAAAAATTAGCATGATTTCCAAAAAAAAAATCTAATTTTGGGGTGAGGTGGTTTTCGGGCTTATTGGACCCAAGATGGATGAATTTTAAACAATCTGATTTTTTTTTTTGGGTGATGGATGAACACAAACAATGGAGCGATGGATAAACACAAACAATCTGATCTTTTTTTTTTTGACTTCTTTCTGCCCCTCTTTTTTTTTATCAGCAACTAATTTTTTGTGGTAACAGAATATGAATTTGTAATAAGTAGAACCAACAAAATACGAGCGTAATGGGGTAAAGGATATTCAGCTACACTAGGATATGTGAACCGAATTTTTTTAGGAACTAAAAGAACGCATAATAACGAAGAGATAGGTTTTAAAAGATAGGCAAACCTGAACTCGAGCCTTGGCTCTGATACCAAATGATGTGAAACCCGCCAAGAATAACGAGAACCAACAATGAAAAGGAACCCAAGATCGTTTTACAATCAGATTTGATGCTAGACCTCGACCCGTTGTTTACGACAAACAAGAACCTTGGTATAAAGGAAGACGCCACAAACGCTGTGGAAACCCATTTGATAAGTCACTGGTGAACGCCACAGAAAATTCCGATAAGTTCGTTTAGTTCTTCAAAGAACCGTAGAGAATAATACTCTCACAATTTACTGAATAATAATCTGTCTTTTCATTGATTTGAATGCCTATTTATAGGCTGGTCATTACAAGGATTATGAAACTTCCTAAAATAGCTATCCTATTTAAGAAATATCTCTTACTTTCCTAAGACTCTTGAAGAAAAAGAAAGACATTCAGCCCTTTAATTGGCTGATCACATGCCTAAATAGAAAAAGGAAAGTACTTGGCATACAGGCCTTACAATTAGACCCCAAAAAGAGTGAATAGTGCGCTATTACTGTAGCGTGAACAGTGCGGTGCAATAGTAACTACGAAAACCCTACTTCATAAGAAATAAAACATGTGGGCTAAGCATCCTCAAGCCCACTTATAATAATAATCCTTTTAACAAATTGGAAGCATTAACAACAACAGGCCAATTTAAGCTTAGCCTTAGCACCTAGCTGGATTCTTTTAGAACTTGAATCATATTGATGAATCTTTGTTGCCCAAGTAGATCATGGTCAATGGGCCTCCATGAACTTGCTTGATTTCATGCCTCTTGAATCAGTCCATTGAGTATCTCTTTAAACTTCCTTGATCGTGCTCTTGTAACCGGCCCAATTGAAACTTGAACTAAATCCCTTGAAGTTGTGTTATGATTTGCATCAGCAAGCATGTCTGATTTTAGACCTTTCTCATATTGTAATACCTTCTATAAGGTAATCTCAAAAATCATAGAAAATAGGCTTAAAATTCTACTTCCCCATGTGATCAACCCCTCTCAAATTGCCTTCATTAAGGGAAGGAGCATAGGGGACAATATTCTTCTGGACCAAGAATTTCTAAGGAACTATCACAAGAATGATGACCCCTCCAAGTGTGCTATCAAGGTTGATTTAATGACATGGTTGATTGGGATTTCTTGCTCGATGTGCTTTCTGCTCTTAATCTTCCCAGAATAGTGGTCAAATGGATTTGAGAATGCATTACTACTCCCAAGTTTTCTATCAATGTTAATGGTGAATTGATAGGGTACTTCCCAAGTGGTAGAGGTCTTATACAGGAGACCCAATGTCTCCTTATTTGTTTGTCATTGTGATGGAAGTGCTGTCAAGGATTCTTGAGCAAGGCATTCAAGATGAGCCTCAATTTAAATATCATTAGAGATGCAAAAGACAAATGATTTCCCAACTTTGCTTTGCGGATGACTTAATCATGTTATGCCATGGGGACCCCAAATCAATTGAAGTTCTTGAA